TTGATGAAAACAGGCATAACTGATTCTTTCCAGTGAGATCTCATTAAATGCAGTGGTATACTTTTAACTACTTATATATCTTCATTGCTTTTCAGTGATAAGATATTGATTCCGTTTAAGAAAGTGTTTTCATTTTGATATTGCTAAAAATTTAATTCGAATTAAGAATGGAGTTTTTGCAAATTTGCACAATATTTTAATAAATTTAAATCTTTTTTACAATTAAAACAATATGAGATAATTGATGTCATTTTAATGACCATTAATTCCTTTTTTTTTAATCAACCATATTACTTTAATAGGTATAATTATTATTTATTTATAATGAAAATGTACATATGATAATATATCAAAATTTGGAGGAGTGATTTAAAGAAAAGTTGTCTCTTCCTCCGAAATATGACGTACTATTTCGAAATACTATGCTTACATCTCAATAAATGCCATTCTATTATTATTGAATGTATCTATATATCTGTGTGCGAAATTTCTTGTAAAAATCTACCACATATATAAAATATCGTAACTGAATTGATTAAATTAAAAATAATTGTCAAATATGCATTGTGATAAATATTATCTAAGTAGGATATCAATCAGTTAGATATCGTTTAACACGTAAATCATTCTGTTCATCTTGTGTTCAATGCCTTTATTATTTCTATAGGAACGAATTTAATTTGTTTTAACAAATGAGATCTCTCTCTCTCTCTCTCTCTCTCTCTCTCTCCGTAAAGTATTGAAGAGAGATGTTCATTTCTTTCTAAGCACAGATGTTAAGAACAGGAAATGCGCATTCTGTACTTATTACATTTACGAATTTTACGTATACAACATTATCCGGTTGTTAAAATAATGCTTAAAAGAACAAGTCGGGAATTAATTACAATAAATTCATGAAAAGCCATAGATGGCTACGGATTATATTTGTTAACTAGTTTTGATTTTTTTTAAACTTACTTTCACACGATATAGCAAAACTGCAGCTCATACAGCGTACACGAGAGAGGCAATGCAAGCTGGAACCGGCTAGTTGAAACCAGTTACACATATGTATGATATTTCTTCGGAGCCTTTCAATATACATATAGAGTAACATCAAAAATATCCTTTTCGCGATTTTTAATATTAAAGGATCTTTATTCTCCATTAATTATGCACGAGTATTGAACACGGAAAACATGTATGTATTATACAGTGTATGTATCAAGAGCTCTCTACTGAAATTGACTGTAGTGAGAATTACGATCAAATACGAGATATATTTTGTGTATCACATAGGAATATAAATACATATTAAATTGCTAACAACAGGAGCAACAGGATTGCTGATTAAGCGATGGAGTTACGGTTGCTTCCAATATTTACAAAATGTGCATACGTTTATAATATATTATAATTTACGTCGTTCTATGAATGAAAAAAAAAACACGCATCGTACATCGAAGCAACGGTTTTGAATATTCACCCAGTACTCGCCGTTTCTCAATTTAGAAACCTTGAACACCTTCCAGCATGTAAAAGATGCTTTATAAAAAATAAAATTGCTGTACTTGGAACTGCTTCTAACATTTCTCAGACGATATACTAGTAGATCTCGATTTTTTCGTACATTAATATTAATATATTTACAATAGACATTAATATTAATGCGCGCGCTGGGTGTGTTTTACGCGTAAAGGAAGTACGGCAGTGTCGCTGTGCTTGGCTTAGAGCCGAGACATTATCGTGTCTCCAGATTTTACTACTAGGTGATGTATAACACTATTCAGAAAAAGACTGTTTTCGAACACTGAAACAAGACTAGTGATTTTTAATAGTTTTTTAAAAATATTGAATACGAAAGCGTTTTTCAAATTGCTCCATCATGCCTATTTTGAAAAATTTGCAATTCAATTTGATAAAAGATATTGCTTTATCATATTGTAATGATGTATGACATACTGAAAAACTTTTAATGTAATCAAAATTAAATATGTTGTTATTAAATATGTTGATTTTCAGCCTTTCAAAAGAAACCTTTTAATGTCGGCTAATAAAAGATTCATAGTTAAATATGTAGTCTATTACGAAGAAACTATAAATTTTATTAAATAATTGATAATTTAATGAAATAGCTTTTGACTATTTATTTAAACTTAAAAGTTTGTTAGGCCGTTGAATATAAATAAAATATCAAAATTAACAAATTCAAAATGGATTCAATATGATGGGGAATGTCAAAATTTGAAAAATATCCGGATTATTATAAAATGTATAGACGTCTTCATAATTTTGAATTTATCAGTTTTGACATCAGATTCTTATACAGCGGCCTAAAAAACTTTTATATTTAACTAAATATGAATAAAAACTATTTGGTAAATCGTCAATGACCTAATTCACTTTTATGTAATTGATTCTAAACTTTTGAATATCTTATTAATTGTAGCCGACATTAAAAAATCTTTTTGAGGATTGAGAATTCTATTAATATGCTTAATTTTGATAGCAATAAAACTTTTTCGGCATGTCTCATATCGTAGTTATAATATGATAAAATATAGAAAAATAGCCCTTTTTTGCAACTTTAAATGTAAATTTTTCAAAATTATGACGTGATGGAACAATATTTGGAAGCTTTGTATATAGCGTAAAAAAAAATACGGGAACTAACTAGTCTCGTTCTGTTTTTTTTTTTATCGAATAGTGTAATCACGCATCTCGAAAATGCTCTCCGAGGAATTTTCAAACGTAGGGATCGTCCATTCGAACGGACGACACATCCATTAATTTCCACGCTCGTTTCTTCATAAGTTTAAGATAAAACGTTATTCCCCCACCGATTGTTTAGCTGTTCCCCACTCGTGCAAACATTGTGGCTACCATCACGAAATGCTATTACCTTCAAAGAGACAGTACTTGTTGTCTTTGCGAGTTGGAAGTAGGCAGGTGCACGTGAGGTCCAGCGAGTGTCCAGAGGTGATGGTGGCGGTGGCAGCGATGATGACAGCGGCAATTCATTAATTCGCTTATCAGCGATCGTCCGTGTGGACGAGCAAAAAGTGTAGCATGCAGCTCGTGGCTCACGCGCGCGAAATCGAGTTTTACGACGTTTAGAAGGCCACATACTCGTATTTGTGACAGACGTCAGGCTTGAGCGCTCCGATTTAAGGTAATAGAATATGTAGATCTAGAAAGATATGCACGTGGAAAACGTTTTCTCGCTTCAGGACTGTAATAAAAGCGACAATCGTAAACGTTTCCTTTGTAAATCCCTTCCCGAAACGCGAGTGCATACGATATGCGAAGAAAAGAAAAAAACAACTATATGTAAATCTACAGTCATCGACGTTATCAGCTAGAAAACACATATGTATTTTGCATATGAATATGTCAAAATACATTGTGATAACTGTTCATGCGTATGCTAAAAAATTGACCTCTAGAAGTACAAGAACACGATTGAGTATATTATCGTAGTCTTGACAATATTCACGATGATTATTGTTATTAATGCTTCCACACAAGTAAGTATTTTTAAATACAAATACTTTTAAAAACAATATCAGGTTAAAGACAAGTCAGTTAATGCAGCTTATTAAGTTCCATTTTTATCTTATGTACATTCGAGAATCGTTCAAAGAATTAGTTTTACAAAAAATTTAATTTTTAAAATATTGACCGTGTAATATATATGCTACTTAACAAAAAAACAGGAAACACTAAAAAAACGCTTACAATTGCACAATTTTCAGATTATCATAGCTTGGAAAAAAATTATTGCAGCTGATAACAAAAAATTTAAAAAAGCTTGAAATTTGTATTTTAACATGCTTTTAATAATTTAAAAAAGTGTTTATACTATATTTAGAGTTCTATATCTTAACAAAGATCATCTTGTTATGTTCTTTAAAATTACGTATATTCAACAATCTGCATGCAGCTAGATAAAACATTTTTTCTAAAAATATTTTTACAAACATTTTTTTCTAAAAATACTTTTACAAACAAGTATAGAGTTTTACCTACAAAATGCTTTTTAAAAAATTTTTTACGATTTTTTTTACCGAATTACACGATTTTAGAGCTAAACATGTATTTCTTACAACCAACGTTGAAATTCGGTGAAAAGTTATCGTAAAAATTTTTTATCTCGCCAATTCTGCAGAATTAAATTTAAACGATCAAAAGCATATTAAAGTATAAACTTCGAGCTTCAAAATGCTTTTATAATTTTTGTCTGCGATAATTTTTCACCAAGTTATGGTTATTTGAAAATTGTGCAATTTTGAGCGTTTTAAAAGTATTCTATGTATTTTTTATGTAGTGTAATTTAATGCAATTGTACATTGTCTCTAGATACACAGATCTAAAAATAATTTAATTTAATTTAATTAATTAATTATTTTAAATAATTAGTTTAAATAGTTTTATTTAATAACTTTGTTTTTTTCTTGTTTAATCTTGTTTATTTTGTTTAAGTAATAAAAGTGCATGTCATTTTTTATTTATAAAGTAATTTTTTAAGTATAAAGATTTGAGGTATAACCAATCCTAAATGTTAATTAAAAGGTCATGTATATCATACGTATAATCATAAGATAATATGCGTATAACAGTAGTTTTGTTTAATGTCGGTGATAGCAAAATGTTTGATGTATCAATTCGACGTATCATTTCTAACACTATTCCACGACATGGATACATGACTTTTTAACTAATGTTAGATTTATTATATGACTTAAATATTTTATTATTTGTCTTATATTATTTATCTTATATTTTAAAAAATGACTTTATGAGAAAGAAAATAGCATGCACTTTTATTATTTAATTTTTCATGAACTTTCGTGCTGCAATTTTATTATCATCAAATTTTGAGATTGTGTGTGTGTGTGTGTGTGTGTGTGTGTGTGTGTGTGTGTGTTTACAAGTAATAATTTCGATATTACATAATTGTTAATATTATTTGCTAATAAGATGCAATATATCTTTATATAAATACAGAATTGCCCCCATTCAAATATTCGCATCTCCTAATATTCCATTGTGATACTTAGAATCCATGAGAAATCGCGTGACAGCTCGACTATCACGTGGAAGATCCTCCGTTCGCAAATTAAAAGGATATAAAAAGAAAAAGAGTCGTAGAACTAATGGCTCATTCTGTCGCTCCATTCGTGTGCCGTGCATTCTAAAGGCAAAGTACGTAAATCTCCTCAACGTCCTCGAGATTAACTTGGACTATTTGGTTCACGGTAACTTTCTCGAGTCACCTCGCGCGGGTAATGATCGGAATATCAATACACGCTCCATTAATTTATTAAAACATTGTCTAGTTTCTCGTAAACCTCGTTTTCACGAAAACAATGCCTGTCTCGCGTAAATCGCGGGAATGGATAAACTTCACTGAAGACTTTCGCAGACAGCGGCGTGCGTTTAATGCAACATTAGAATGGTATCGTAAAACCGAATACGTGCCGGTAATTACTCCCTTTGTGCATTTCACCGCTCGACATGGTTAAAACAGTATCTCGTGACGCAATGGGATAAACTGCACAATTGTTTCAGCTATCTGGCACAATTGGAAGATTACTTTATCTAGTTCGGCGTTACGATTTTCTTTTCGGTTTCTCTCTTTTGAGCGCAGCGGTTTTCCGGTTTCCGGTACCGTTGGGAAATCAATAGCCACGTGCCATACATAGAAGTTAACCGCGTGCTTGCGAGAGGTCAGCACGCAGCCTTCGGGAAAGCATTGAAATTTCTCCTGGTATTTTTCAAACATTTTACAATTATCTGTTTATTAAACGCGATATTTCGCATATTTTTTGCAAAAAAAAGCGGCTTTGTGAAAATATAGTCGAAAACACGAGACTCGTTAGTTGCTCCTCTGTGAATTTTCACATTAAAACATACGGTTAAATTACCTGATGACAGAAATCTCTGTAAAACAGAGATTTATTATGCGTGTGTTCAATATACACACGGTGTTTACAAAAATACTTTTTTTACGATAACATCCTCATACAGGTTCACATTGTAATCGTACAGGTAATCGTTGCACACACGCAATGATTTAATGCCGTAAATCAAAAAGTCAAGAACGGATCGACGAGACTCCATACAAAACGATTATCCAATCCGTGTTTTATCATTCCATGTTGTACGCGTAATACTTCACATTGCGCACAGTTTTACACTTCTTTTTTCGGTTCCTCAATAATTATTACGCTCTGATAATCCTGTTTCTAATACGTCATACTTTTTGCATTATTTGCCGCTGGGCCGCTAACTTCCAGCACCTGCAACATCGTCGTTATATGCATGCGTTGTTTATATACCGCCGGGATAGCTCCAGCTACTCGGTGGAGAAGTCGTTTCCGAGGGCAGTTCCTCTCTCTCTTTCTCTCTCTCTCTCTTCCCCTCTCTTTTCTGATACTTTTTATGGGAAAAAGCTTTCTGTAGCCGCCTTCACACGGCGAACTGATCTCGTTTCTTTATGTAATGCCCGCCCAAGTCCGACGCGCGCGACTGGCATCATTTTTCATTCGCGATGTTCCCAGGAAACTTGAAACATAAAGCGCCAGGTTGAACTTTCGATCGGCCGCCATGGCGGCGATTCCCGGCAAGTAGTATAAATTCCGAATATGATTGCAGCTTACGAGACGTAAAAGACGAAAGTATGCGGCTGTGCTGTTCAAGGAAGGACGAGGCTGACCCGCTGCGGTCGGGACTGGAAAATGGTACGAACGATATCCACACGTTGACGTAATCGTAAAATGGAAATGCAACGCGATCTCTGCGTCGGAAGAATAATCTTAAACGTAAAATGAGAAAAATTCCATGTAATAAAAATGCACTACAATAAAATGTGTATGAGAAATGCAAAAGTATTAGAAATGTCTTAAATACATCTTCCAATTTATAATAGTTTAAAAAAAAGCAAAACAAAACGAAAGTGAGCTTGGTTTATGTGCTTACAATAGTTTGTATATTAAGCAATTATATTAATTCATACATATATAAAATAGCTTGAAAAGGAAGTTTTATTTTTTTAAACTATTATAAATTGAAAAATATGTATTTAAGACATTTCTAATTACAAATATACACATAATTATAGTTATAGTTTATACAGTATTTACAAAATTTTATTTCCAAAATTGCTTCTTTCTATATAAGGCAATGATTCGAATAAAGTATATTAATTTATATAGAATTAACTAACATTTTCTCGCAAATTTTGACTTAAAGCAAAAATCTTACTTTTTATTGTTAAACATTAAAGGAATTTGCATGTAAATTAGTGATAAATGTTGCCCGGTTTTATCTTACATAACACAGACAAATTGTATGAAGTCTTTATGCACACAGCCATTCGTTTGAAGAGACGATTAAGATGGGCTTATATTTCCAGCCGGATTATTCTTCCAGTTAGCGTTGTTTAAGTATCACTGCTTAACAGTAGTATTAAATTACTAAGTATACATGTATATACATATATAATGGACGCTAGCTTGTTAAAGAAATGTTGGAGATTACGCTGTAATTGAGCGTCGACTTTAGATACCCGATTATTCAATATTACATAACTGGTTAAATGCTTAAGTATGTCGTGTAATTATTTGTTTATGTTATATGTAACAGTATATGTAGTAAGGAAGGTACTAATTGGCTATATTGCAGAATCTTTTTTCGCGCGCGTGTGTTTTCAACAAGCCTTTGATAATAAATAAATATATGTTTTAGTTGATTTATTAATACCTCAAAATAGTGATCTGTGCGAGTTAACATAATAATATAACATGACTCTTCCCGTTATAATCCCTTAATCAAGAAGCGCAGATTATACAATAGAAAATCTTTACCTATTTATTTTCAATAAGCCTGGTATAATATAAATAAATATATTCTTTTATTAGTTGAACATTTCGAAATAATGTCATTTAATGACATGTGATTTTTCTTCTCATAATTTTTTAATCGAGAAACACAGACCATACAACCGAGTCTTTATTCATTTTTATAGGAGGTACCAAAGATCCATTAGCGAGGAACGATATGGAAAAATTTGGATTTTACCAAATAGTGATGTTCACATTTCTTAGTATACCGTTGATACTATCGGCAGGATTTACGCTTTCTTACGTATTTACTGCGGGTGAGATTAAATACAGGTACGCGTATGTATATCTTTGCTAATTATTTAAACTTTCACGTATGTACATGCAGTTAAAATACATAATTCAAACGTATTTGTAAAACACGATGTCGGGTTTTAACAAATTTAAAACATTGTATTTTAAAACATATAAATGTACTTTAAATTGTGTGGGAAAATTAAGGGGGAAAAAAGCAATTGTTTAAATGCAGATGTTTAGTGCCGGAATGCGAGCATTCAGGGAACACGACGTTTGAACCGCCGTGGGTCAATGCTTCCGCACCGAAAATTGACGGGGTCATTTCCGGTTGCACGCGTTACGCGGTGCGAGATGATCGTCCGGGCACATGCACGGAAACATCGTTCACCAACGTCACTAGCTATTGCGATTCTTGGATTTATGATCCGGACGAGCATACGATACTCAACGAGGTAATGCGGCCCGTAGTAATCAGCGCGTATTTTTCACCCGTCGAGATTTAGACCCGACAGATTAATTTCCTTTTTCCTTTTCCTTCACTTATTTCGACACAGTGGGGCTTTACCTGCGACACTAATCGATGGAAACTCACAATGGTGGGCACAATGCAGAATATCGGTCAGTTCGTCGGCTTGATGTTCGCTGGATACATATCTGACAGGTGAGGGATCAGCGCAATATCCCCGGGGCTTTAATTAATTAACTACGTACAAAATATTGCGCAACATTCGTCGCGGATGTCGGCGAGATCGTTTTCATTTTATTTATATCTTCATGTTGCCAAGAAAAAAATATTATATAATTACATTAAAAACTTAATCCTCTAAATTTCATTATATCATGTGACGGCTAATTTAATTAGCTATTACGTAATAATATTTAGGATTTTATGTATATTTAATTAACTATTCATATGACATTGTAGCTTGTAAAGGATGACATACGTGCATGATATACATGATAAATTCGCGTTACGCTATTTTTTCTCTAATTCTAGAAGATCTAAAAATACATTATTTTTCTACATTTTTCCTAGTAAGTTAGATATACAGATAATCAGTTGTATTGTGAACTTCTTTTATTATACGTTTCTTTGCATACCCAACAATCAATCGTGATTGATTGCGAGATTAAATTCTTAGAGTTAAAAGGATATGTTTAATTTTATGTAATGCAAGATGGTACAAATAGTCTGTAACAATGTTTCTACAATTCTTCGATTTCAGATTCTGGATAAGAAAGCATGACGTATCGCGAGGAATTTCGCATTGCGGCATGGCAGAAATGCGCTTTGCCGGGACAATGTGCACATCCACGTTCATTCTTTTATTTCCAGGTATGGGAGACGAACCTTTTTGACGGTGGCGACGTCTCTGTCTGGAGTCAGTGGCTTGATACATTCCTTCTCCGTGAATTATTGGATGTTTCTCGCATTCGAATTCCTCGATGCCAGTATGGCGGCTGGAATTTACAGCGCGGGATTTATTTTAGGTGCGTTAATAACGGGACAATAAATATCCTCGGGGAGAGCAAAAAATATATGCGACACCTGTAAGCGTTATGTCGTTCCTGCCCTATTACGAGTGTTCGCGGGCGGCAAATTCACGATGCAATGCTCTTTACTCGCGTTTGGAATGCAAATACGCGACACGCATATAACGCAGATATTTTCGAGTTATTTATTTTGGATTTATCATGTGTTTATTTAGTCGTTTATTAAAATTGTAGTTGTAGCTTTATGCGACATGCATTTAGATTCCTATGAAAATATATTCTGTGACAAAACATTCTCGGGAAATATAATACTAACAGGCCATATAAAAGATAATGAGTTTTCACTCAAAAATTCGAGATTACACTTGCGGAAAATGAAAATATAAAAAAGAAATATTGCATTTTTCTTAATGTACGAGGAACGGCTTGAAAATGAGCTTTTTCTTCAAATTAGCGATTGATATTTCAATAATATTTATCAACATTTATATTTGAGTTAAACCATCGATATCAAGAAATTCGAAATTTTTTAAATCTTGTATATCGCAGAATTTTTAAATCATCGACGCACCGGCGACTCTCGTGTCGATCGCACGAATACATTATTTTTCTACGTTCGCTGTCGTATTAATTATTACCAATAAGTTGCATATTATATAAGAATCACGTACTATAAGATATGTATGTATATTAATTCCACTTCTCTTCAGTGTAATGTCCTTTCAACGTAACTTACGCGTGACTACGTTCTCGCTAATAATTTATACACTTGTTCGCTCTCACAGGGTTAGAGACGGCGGGAAAGAAAAACAGAGTCTTTGGAAGTACTATAATCTGCTGCATGTTCGCCATGGGTGAGATTTTGCTAGGATTGATTGCGAGTTGGCTAAGATCTTGGCGAACGCTTCTTAGGGTAATATACGGGCCGGGACTGTTAGCCGTCTTCCTGCCTCTGCTCATTCCAGAATCAGTTAGGTAATTCTTTTTAATCTTAGTCAACATTCGCGTATCGGTGAGACGTCCTTCTCAATCGATTATCAAGATTTGAATTCGAACACACACACAATGTATATCTATAATTTATTGAAGTATGTGCGTGATTGATTCTCCTTCATGGATATCTATCGGTAATTTAATTAAAAATGGTGTAATTCATTGCATTAAAATGATTAAAAGATTGAAAGATTAGCTAGAATCATTTATTACCTTAATGCAACTTTTTATAGTAAACAATTAAACGGAATTTATTAAGGAATGTTTATACGGTAGAATTCTTTACATTGTTTTATCTGCAAAATATATATGCACATAATCCCGTTTTCAAGGTGGCTGTTGACAAAGGATAAACATGAGAAAGTGGGAAAAATATACCGTAAAATGGCTCGAATGAACGGCTTGCCAGTAACAGACGAGGCTATCAATGCGTTTAAAGAAATAAATGTAGATAAGGAGGAACCGGTATGTCACTTATCTCTTTTTTCTCCTCATAAATGCATATGTTTAATTATAGCATTGAAAAATTTGTATCTGCAAGTCTACTACTTTCTAACATACAGCTATCGTTTGTAATTTTCAATAGTCAGTAACTTTTGTATTATTCCGTAAACATCAACGTAAAACGATGACTTGCATATGATTCTTGCGATTTCATAGTCATCTCATGATTGATACGATCTTTCAGAAAAGCAAGCTGGTGATATCGGACGAAAGGAAACCGATCGTGCAAGTTCTACATAGTTCAGTGATACTCATTCGACTGCTGATTTGCTCGTTCTGCTGGCTCACGAACACGTTCGTTTATTACGGACTGTCGTTGAATTCCGTGGCGTTCGCTGGGGATAAGTACATCAATTTCGTGCTCGTCGCGGTGGTCGAGATACCGGCGTATTGCCTCGCTTGGGTGCTGACCGATCACATTGGCCGTAAACCAACGCTCTCCGGCTCATTCCTG